AGTGGAGATGAATGACTGAACATACGCTGAGAAAACAAGCAGATAACATCATATGATAGGGGAAAACACTCAACTGGAACCCGAATGTGAGACAATGAGTTGATTACTAGTCTGAGAATGACATCGAGGGAATGAGAGCTTGATGATGGAGGCAGGTGAGGAGAAACTGTAGAAAAAAGGGGGAGATGTACTTTTGAAGTCCTATGTTCCACTGCGAACTCAACGATTAATGTGCGATTGAGCACTATCTGTTTTTCTACGGCTTGACATTACTTAAATTATCTACAAAATTATAGTATTTGTAATGAACAAATTGATTACAAATGCCTATTAAAATTTTTCAAAAGACTCATTAGGGAACAAAGAATATTCTTTTCGATAACCTGCTCTTCATCAGGTTCTATAATTATGTATACATATAATAATGAATGAATTAGTGTTGTTAACAACAACATTAATGTTTCTTAAATAACATCGAATCAATAACAATAATATTAATGGATTACAGTTCGATAGCATCAGCATAAAAGAACACTGAATATCAGACAGAAAAATTAGGAAAAATAATAATACAAATTCATGAATTTATAATCTCGACTGAAGGCCGGCCAGGGCAGTAGTAGTGCCTGGACTTGCTTCTCACAGTATGGCTAAGTAAAGGTGTAGTAAAAACCATCAACAGTTCGATATTAGACCACCTGGTGCAAAGCGACCGGCCACAAAGCCAGTTAGCATTGAAAAATCCTTCTCTATCATCTACTGGGTACCAAATAAATTGCCAAAACATCCAGGTACCATATATTCCAAAAAGCAGAGGCTATCGCTATTCACCTTAAACAACCGGTGCTTTGTGTGCAGTAGAAGCAAGTCCAGCCAGCCACTACTACTGCCCTGGCCGGCCTTCAGTCGAGACTATAAATTCATGAATTTGTATTATTATTTTTCCTAATTTTTCTGATATTCAGTGTGTTGTTATGTTGATGCTATCGAACTCTAATCCATTAATATTATTGTTATTGATCCGATGTTATTTAAACAACATTAATGTTGTTGTTAATAACACTAATTCATTCACTATAATGTATATATAACTGTAGAACCTGATGAAGAGCAGGTTATCGAAAAGAATATTCTTTGTTCAGTAAACATTCTTTTGGAAAACGGACAAATTATTTTGCAAATCCATCCTTGACGATCTTTTTAAAAGATTCAGATCATTTAGATGTTTCAATTAATATTTCAAATATTGTGCGTTTCTCCTCCACCTAGACTGCGTATCATTAATTTGACCTCTGAATATCACTTATTGATTTTTGACCTTTATTATTTGCCTTACAAATCAATTATTTTACACTGATATAAAAGGCTTTTAAGTGTTTATTTAACAAGGGATTAGTACCACTTCACGGTAAAGAGACTGAATGATAAATGTATGATGATATAGCGCGACTGGCACTAGCCAATGTCATCTCTGGAAAAAGTTTATTCTTACACCCGACCTGCTGTACCCCACTGGTCACGAATTCCCACTTGAACAGGGCCAGTAGCTGTTGGGTATCGCCGATGATATTCACTGGTGATTGACCTATATCGTGATCTGATACAAACTGGAATTATGGGCTGGCCAACAGATCGGATCCCAGTGGCCTAATAGTCTACGAGCTAGCTTGTCTTGTAACCGGTAAGCCCTCGGTTCGAACCCCAGCATTGGGGTTGGTGCGTACTGATGAAGAGTTACAAACTGAGACGAACCAGCTATGCAGTACACCCTGCTGGTTTTCAGTGATTCTCGAACCGATGTCTGCCCATGATGAAATCCTGTGACTAGTCAAATCCCTACAAATCAACACCTCAGGATAAAAGTATAACTTTGATCGTGGTTTCAGTACTAACCCTTTGAGCAATCTACAGTGAAGGATAAAATGCATATAAAATGTTTTAAGGGATAATTAGAGTACTTTAGCAAAGAGTTATAAAATGATCGTTAATTGAGAATCAATAACCATACATAAAGTAGTTTTCATGTCAACACTGAGGCAGTTTACTACAAGTAGCATCATTTAGTGATACATGAGTATTGAAACGGTAGAAAATGAAAGATTTAGTAAAGGAATAATAGAGAAGATTTTGTAGCTCAGGTGGATGATTTGCAATTAGTAGTGTTCTCTGAGCTGGTTGGTTTAGTTGCGGAGCTTTCGTCGTCCTTCTGGACAACATCTTCAGAGCAATTTTTAGCATAAACTGAACTGATTTAAAATTTTTCATGAGTGATAGAATTGCGTCTCCCGGTAACCATCTTCACATCTTTACTGATCATTTTCTATTGATATAGCAAAAATATTCATTCAGACATCTATGAAAAAACAAAATAATTGAGCAAAGAATATCCTTTACGATAATTTCCTCTTCTGGCTCTACAATTATATATTTTTATATACATAAAGTATTCTAGAATAGTAGTCAGTAGCAATATTGGTGTTTTTTAAATAATATCGATTTGTAAAGTGAGATCACAATGGAATTACAGTTCATTAAAGATGCTTAAATTATAATAATAATAAAGATGTAGTAACAAATAGAATGCCAACTAAAATTAGGAAAATTCCATAAAAATTCAGGATCATTCAAACCTAGATAGCCAAGGTAAGGATAATGTCTGAACTAACTTCTTTTAGATGCACAAATAAGGCTTGTTAATATGGATTTTAAACTTTCTAGTCACATGATCTACTTTTTATTAAGTTGGTATATTTGGTCTATATTAACATGTTTCTTAATTGCACATTCGTTTGAGTATCAGGCTTCTAGGAATTCCCTGGCACCTTTGGTGTTTCCTCTGTCTAAAATTTCGACATTATCTCAATCAAACTGATGTCCATGATTAATTAATTAAGTAATTTGTTTCCCTGTGGGGAGACTGGTATCTCTGCATAGTCAAATTATGTATACCTTATCTTCAACACACCATTAGCACAGATCTTCATGTTGTGGTACTTCTAGACTTCACGTTGTGTTTTTTTTTTGTGTCCCTTTCACGTCTCTTATGCATCTCCCCAACGCTGTCTCATTTGCCATCTCTGAAATCAAATGTATCTCCCTGCTATTTGATGTTTTTTTACCGATGAATGTCTCTTTTTATACTACTGATACATCTTATCGGTTCTAAGGTACCTTCTACAGTTGATCTTGGTTTAGCTAATTTGGTTATACAGTACTTGTTTTGTATTTAGAAACCTAAATTGCCTGTGTGGCTGCTGCCTCACGACACTGTTGAGGTGGATTTGAGTTTTGATGTTATTATTGTTGTTGTTTAATAGAATCACTGTGCTTGGAAGGCGTCGTGAAAGCGCTTATCTCAAGGAATTTTTGTCGGCTGTACAACAGAAGAATATAGCGATCAGTTTCTTGTGTTTAGACATATCATAACCGAATCAATTTGGCCGTGATAGTACTCACATGTAACCTAAGGGTTTCTCTGACATTTCTACGGAACTTTTCATTCTTTTTTCACAGAAGCAATCAACTCTCCCTTCATTTTGACTGCGCGTCGGTAGCACAGTGGTTAGGACTCTCGCCAGAGTTCGATCCGCTGCCGACGCCCACCTGATATCAGTGATCGACCTGCAAAATTTGGGCTACCAATATTGTATGCTTAGAATTCCATACTTGTACCGAAAATATGGTGTGGAATCAAGCTGTAATCAAAAATAAAAAAAATAAAAATACATATATACCCAAAACACGCTTTTGTGTTACAGTAACTGGTCTTATAGCCCAGGTGTGTTAGAAAGGGAACTACTACAAGTGAAACATGCATTGAAACGTATTCGCACACCTTTTTTTATTTACTTCATTTCATTCTGGTATAACCCAACCCTTACTCCTACAATTCGTTAACTCTCGCATTCTGCCTATTATTCTCTATTGCCTTCCCTTAGTTTTTCCCGGACTACTAAAGAAAGGCTATACCTTATTACGCAGCATGTTAAAGGTTGTCAGCAGGGTAAGCAACATGCCACTTAGCCAGCTTGTTAATATTCTGGTTGACAGGCACATGGACTCATGTGAAAAATGGGCCAAATCCATTTTATCTAACTCACACCACCGTCTTCACTCACAACTCTCCCCTTGCATCTCATCAGGCAGGACCAGAAGCCTATATAGAAAACTATATGTTCGTACCAGCAAGTACAAAAACTCAACCACACCACAATTAGCTCATGTTCTGTGCATTAGGTGTGATACCTATAATTCATTAAATAGTCAGTAGAACAACTGGACCTCGTCTTTCCAACTCATATCATTTATAGGTACAACAATTTCTTTCTTTCTTTTCCTTTTCTCTCTCTCTCTCTCTCCTTTTTATCTGTTATGTACTGCTTTGTTTCTTTCTCTTGCTTACGCCAGTAAATATGCTATCATCTACTTTTCTAACACTTTCAAACATTCTGTTCAGCTTTGGCCTTGCTACCAACATGTCAATATGTTGTTGTCATAACGAACTGAGATTTCCTTAACCTATGTAGAATTTTATTTATTGATAATGTACTAACTGGATGCAATACTGTAGTAAAAATGCTGAGAATTCCATTCTGTATTACAAGTACTGTTTGGAATAAAGCAAATTATTATTATTAGGTCGGGTGTGAGGACAAATACTCGCCGAAGACATTGGCTAGGGTCGCGCTATGTTGTGAATTGGCAGAAGTTAGAATTCATGGGCCATGGGATCGGGTCCCAGTGGTTTAATGGTATACGAGCTCGCCTTGTAAACCAGAAGGTCCTGGGTTCGAATCCCGGTGGGTGCGTACTGATGAAGAGTCCTAAACTAGGACGAAACGGTTGTCCAGTACTCCCAGGTTTTCCAATGGTTCTCTAGCTGATGTCAGCTCATGATGAAAATACTGTAACCAATCAAATCCCTACAAACCAACACTTGAATATTATTATTACTATTATCAATATCTATTACAATTCCTATATTTTTTGTTTTCTTTTAGGTGGCATCCAGAGATAAACATTTCTTCTCAAGACAATCAAGTAACACAAGTAAATCATCCTTTATTTCTGGTGTTTCTGTATCCTCAATGAATTCTGCAAATTCTACACGAAAATTAACAACGGCTACAATCAATTTTCCAATACCAATGTTACGTGTTTTAGAGAGTAGTAATCAAGACATTCATACAGATGTTGTTGAAGAGAATCCTTCAACTGGTGAATACTACACCAGTCCTTCAAAATCCCCTGAAGAGTCTTCACAGCAACAACAACAACAGCAACCGAATAAACAGCATAGTCTTTTAGTTCCACTCCTTGATATCCGTGAGAAAAGCTATCCCTTCCCAGCATCAAATACACCAGAAATGATGATAATGAGAAAGAATGAGTCATTATTCTGTGCTAATGATGACAGGAAGTACTTGTTGAATGAACGTCGGAAGAGTACTTCAGTCATTCAACCGGCAATATCTTACACAGAGCTATATGATAATCCTTGTGAAAAATCAATATCTCCTAAATCATCAGCGGTGGAGGCGGCGGCGGCAGGAGAGACAACTGCCTCATCAGCCTATCGATACAGTGAATCCAGTATTAAATTATCCACTTTATACGCCCTACAGAAACGTCGTAAAAGTACCAATGATTTATTTAGCTCACTATTTCAATCATCCCGAGGACAAGAACAAAATAATCGTACAGCAGGAGGAGGAGGCGGGGGAGAAGAACCTATCCTGCTACAAATGTTAAGACGACAGCATAGAAGAACATTACGTATATTGATTATTCTGCTGTTGGTATTTGTTCTCTGCCGTGCACCAAGATCTATTGTGCTGATGATTGAATGGTTAAGGCATACATGTCTGGAGAAGCATGAAACACATTTAAGCGTATGGTTACAGTACACAAGTATATTTGCTTATTCCAGTGCTATATTGGATACAATTGTCTATGGGTTTTGGGGGAATCGTGCCTACAGGATACGTATGAAGAATTTGTATGCTCGTCGTGCCTTTTGCAGTTGCGTTGGCTGTGAATAGCACATTACATATACATATATATAAAAATATATATTTCATGGCAACTAATAATGACTTAATTTTAAAATATTAATGACTTTTTATTCTCTTTCGAAATACCAAAGCAGCACAAACTACTTAGAGATGTCTTATTTCTTGACTGAAAGGTTAAAATCAACTAAACTTTTAAATGATTATGGGCCATGTAAAAAGGACACATTAAACTATGGAATGTTTACTAAAAGTGGATATGATCGGTAAACATGGAGTATGTAAGGCAGTAAAATATCCATTGAGATCTTGAAGACATGATTTATACCCGCGAGACTGTCATATCTAATAAAATAATGAATGCTTCCCGTTGTTTATCAAGGAATCTTTAGTATACAAATAATTACATTGTGTATTTTTCATTGACAATTTTGGTCATTCATTTCTAATTCATAATTTTATCACACTTATCACCGGTACTGTTTGTGAAAAGTATCTTGTGTATGTTTGATTTGAAAAGTTGTGCATTTCTTTGGGTTTGTATATCTACCTACCTACCTACCTACCTACATAACCTATCTACCTACCTGTCTACCTGCCGACCTTACAATAACGCGCATGTTCATCTTTACTCTCTTTGACACCTTGTTTAAATTTCTTTCAATAAAAAGACAAAGACATGAATGACGCAATAGTAATAGTGTTTTTTCTGGAGATAATAATAACTTAATTCTTCCACTAATTTTTCAGTCTTCTGTTGTTTTTCTTTTGTTTGTTTGTCTGTTTTCCCCGCTGGCCGGTCATAGTGACCGAGGAACATCGTGTCCCCTTACTGGATGTATCTCATCTTTTCACAAATTACTACTTCTGTTATTATTATTATTATTGTTATAAAGAAAAACATTATGGAATGAAACAGAAAAGAATTCATATTATTACTACTACTATTATTATTATTAATTTTATTGAAATAAGTAACTACTTTAAATTCCTTGTTATCCTGTTGTCTTGTGAAACGACCGAGATTGGAAGGTAAACAGGTGTATGACAATACGTTAATGTAAACAGACGAACGATTGCGAGTCAGTCAAGCCCAAAGAAATTATGTATACATGTATATAGATGGGGATAAATCTGAAAGAAGCAACCTCATTTACCTACATAACTACCTACCTACCTGGGAAGCATCTTTTCAACTACAGGCGGACGGAACTGATGGGGATATCAAAGCGAGGATTGGGAAAGCAAGGCAAGCTTTTATTACTCTTAAGTCTGTGTAGAGGTCAGCAGCACTCAGCGTGAAAAATAAAATCCGAATTTTCAACTCGAATGTGAAGTCAGTACTACATACTATATATGTACCGATCAGAGACTTGGAGCTGCTCTGCGTCACGAAGGTCACTTAGAACAAACTACAGACCTTCATCAACAGCTATCTTCGCTCACTACTCAAGATCATATGGCCGGCTATCTTTCAGGTTGCTGAACAGTATTCGTCGTCTAGTGAAGGCTATTATCAGAGATGTAGTAGGGACTGTGATATCCTTCTTTTCATGATATCGGAAGCTAAGTCACCTTTGAATTCCAAGCTCATCTACATTATTTTCTTGGATGCGGAAGATTGCATTTCATACTACTACTACTACTACTATTATTCTAAGCATTCACACCTGTGATTCAATTCCCTCACCGGATATAATTTCTTAAAAACCATGTATATACGATTGTACAGCTTGATGATAAATTCGTTGAAAGGAGTCTCTTCTCTGAATCGCATGTACTACCAACAACAATCATCAGCAGTATACATAGACGCAGATTGATAGGAAGTAGCCAAAATTGAAAACAACATTTCAAGTCAGTGGCTACAGAAGTAGAAGGAAGCGTGTAATTTTCTGATCTGGATGTAGCTTGCGTTGTGGTCAGGAAATAATCTCAAGGTTTGACCTTCAGAAAACCAGCCAACCATAAATTTAGCTAAAAACATAGAAATATAGTGTGATTTACGTCAATAAAAGAAGGGTCCGTTATCAAGTCTTCTACTTTTCGGTGAAAACTTCTTTTATTGTATGACAGGCGATAATGCCCTACTTTAAATTCTCCTTGGGAACACACCACCATCATACCATCACTAGGTAAGCGGGTACACTCAACTAACCACTCCCTTTCCGGGATTCTACTGCTACTCATCATCGGACAAACACTAATAGTAATAACAATAATAATATCATGTTACCCCTTAGAAATCGTCGAACCATCTGTCGACATGTGTTTTAACGATAACTAAGCGTTTAGATTCAACAGGGAAAAATGCCAACTCTAACCTAAACAAAATACGTAGTTCAGCGAAGAGTCTCTTTTCAGCGGCGAATTCATTTTCTTAGCTGTACAATCGCAAATATATACATTGGTTATTTTGTATGCATGTGTACATTAAGTTTGTCAGACAAAAACACAATTGGTTATGATTATTTTAACTAGACAGGTGAAGATTGGTAATTGGAGTTACGCAATAAAAAATTGGTCAAGAAAACTGGGTGTAAACGAAGTTAGAGTAGTAAAAAAGGTGATGAGTTGTCACAAACTGTTGTTAAAAAGAAGTTATGTGATAATATGAACAGTTTGATGATTGAATTTTACTCAATATACGTATAGGAACAAAGTAGAGAATACGAAATTGCGTAAGAGTTCTTCTAATTGAGTACAAGAATTACAAGCAATTAAAGAAAGAGGCAAACAAACAAAACTAAGTCTTTAAAAATCAACAAAGTTGTTACCGTGACAGTAGAAGTGGTTGAGTAATTCCTTTTTTTATGCATAGCTCCAGTTTTTCTATGTGAATGGATGGCGAGAGCCTCAGCGATACAAAGAAGACGAAACCGTATTGCCTTTGGTAGGTTCTTCTTGACTCTGTAGATTACTTTGAAGGAAGAGGCGTTTGTTGAGATGGAACGACCAGTGTTAACCAGGTAGGTGTTCAATTATCGGCCTCCTTATAGTACCACTATTGCCTTTTCGCAACCATGCTGGATAGTGTTCTTGAATCCTCTTGGACAGGGTGAGCGTCGAACGACCGATTTACCTGGCTCCACAGCAGCTGGTGAACTGATATATGAACATGGAAGTGGTCAGATGCGGGATCTTGTCCTTGAGGCTTCTGCAGATCACTGGGCGACTGGAGAACACTATTCTTAGCGTTGCTGCAAAGAATATTCTTCTCAGAGGTGATGTGATCCTTCTCTTGAGAATATCGCCTGTTAAATCTCCTTTGAAATCCAAATTCATGTTAAGTTTCATTTTCGACGCAAGTGAAGTTTCATTTCTCCAAATTCTTGTTTTGATATTTTTGTCAATGAATCTTATTGGGTGGCCATTTTGGATGAAGATTTCTCTCAGAATATCTAATTCTGTTACCAGAACACCGGAACTACAGATGCGTCGGATGCGGGTGGCAAGTGATTTAATTAAATTACGCTTTTGTTGAAGGGGTACCCAGCTATAGAAGCTTGTTAGTCGACCATTCCAAGTAGCTTTTCTATGGATCGATGTTCTTAGGCTCCCATCAGTTCTTATTGTTAGTTCCACATCCAGAAAAGGAATTTTTGATTCGTTTTCCATTTCCAGAGTGAATTTTACTGCTGGATGGCAACAGTTAAATGTCTTTAGCAGTAGGTTGGGGTCATTGTTGTTGTCACAAATTACGAATATGTCGTCTACGTATCTTTTATACAGTCGTAAATTGTCAATGCTCGGCCTTAGTGGACCTTCCTCGAGGTTTGCCACGAAGCAATCTGATAGTAGTGGACCCGACAGAGATCCCATTGCAATACCATCTTTCTTTCTGTAGATGGTATCGTTGAAAGTGAACTGGACGTTTGCAGTGCATCTCAGTAGTAATTCCTTCAAATACGTTGTCGGTATTCCAATATTGAGATGGTTCTCATCTATATATTTGCATATAAAGCAAACCGTTTCCGTGAGTAGGACAGTGGTGAAAAGTAACTCAATGTCGATGAACAGCATAGTTTTGTTAGACACATTCAAGTCTTGTATGCAGTCAGCGAACTGGAAGGTGTCATGGAGCAAGTGCGTACATAATTGTTTCCTTACAGGTTCCAGAATATCTGCCAGCCATTTTGCAATAGAGTGAGTGGTAAGGGGAACCTGACATATATGCAGAATTGGACGAAGTGGGAGGTCAACCTTGTGTGTACCTTTGGTGGACCATAAAGTCTTAGTATTATTGAACCTGTTGGCCGGATCTGGTCATAGATATCGCCACTGATTAGTTGACGTCTGTGAGCTGTTTCTCAATCTGCTCCATTTTTTGTTTCTTTCATTGGAAGGTTGGGAAAATTTATCTTCATTCGACAGTATATATTGTTAATTTTTTCTCAATGTAGTCTTTTTGATCCAGAAGTACTACACCGGCGCCCTTGTCAGTTTGTCAATTACGAAAAATAATACCTCTCGGTTTTTCTTCGTAAGTAGAATGTTTGTTTTTCTGAAACTGGTAGCAGGAATCGATTAGGGAGGGTACGTTTAAATCTTTCTTCTAGCTCATACTTGAACGAAGGAATTAGGTTGTTTGTCTGGGTAAATACATTTTCAAATTGAACATCAGTCTCGAAACTTGATTAACTTGATTACATCTGTCACAGAATTTCAAACCGAGGTGTTCAATTATCACACTTCTTTATAATAAAGGTTTTTGTATTTCCCAATGAATGAAAATAAACGATATTGTTCTTTTTACTGACGTTCCGCTATTTAACGCTGTTGCTAAAAGCTTTATCAAAGTATTATTAAACCGGAATTTACAAATTCCACTCAGCTTATATATAACAAAGAGATAAGAGGTGAGAAAATAGACTACTTAGGTCAAGTTAAAAGGACATATTGAAAGTTAAAATAGCAATGAAGATCACGAAACCAAATAACAGAGTTAATGGTACCTCTGTTATGATATCAAAACAAAGCTTACTAACTTGATCATCGTTCGTCAGTCTGGGGTCATTTTTCGGTGTCAAGTTTGTCAATTGGTAAAGATAACAAAACCAGGTGTAGATTGTTCGATTTGATAAGTGTGTAGAATCATAAAAGCAGCGTGTGTCTACATAGTGAACTTGCTTATCACATTCGTGTTGATTTTATCACTTCATGGAGGAGGGAGGTGTTGTAGCCAGGTCAGATTCTCTTTAAGTTCATCATTCCTATTCAGGCAATTGGGATTCCACTTGATATAAAGTGCTTCTG